TACCCATAAACGATGCACAAGAGTCAAGAGATAAATCAGGAGAAACTTCTAGCTCTAGTTCATCACAAATCAATGAAGAAGGAGCAAGAAACGATTTAAATGATCAAGTAAATCAAGTAAGTAATGCCTTCAATCAACTACAAATCTCAAATACAAGGGATCAAAACACGGTTGGAGAAAGGAAAACCTCAGAGCCACCAAGAAGGTACAAGTCGATGAGCGAGATCTTGGAAAAGGCACCAAGAGTGGAGAATAAAGAGGCTGCTCAAATATTAGAAGCTTGTCTTCTTGCACATGAAGAACCACAAACTTACGATGAGGCTTGTGGAAATGAAGAATGGAGAAGAGCAATGAGTGAAGAGATAGCGATGATTGAGAAGAAAAAGATTTGGAAACTAGTAGATAGACCAGAGAAGAAGAACATGATAAGCGTGAAATGGATCTACAAGATCAAGACAGATGCAAACGGAAATTACGTCAAGCATAAAGCAAGGCTAGTCGCAAGAGGTTTTTCTCAATCTTATGGAATCGACTACCTTGAGACATTTGCTCCAGTCTCAAGACACGATACAATTCGAACCCTACTTGCATATGCGGCTCAAATGGAGTGGAGATTGTATCAAATGGATGTAAAATCGGCTTTCCTAAATGGAGAATTGGAAGAAGAAGTTTACATCGCACAACCACATGGGTTTGTGATCGAAGGAGAAGAAGAAAAAGTGCTAAGGTTATACAAAGCCTTATATGGTTTAAAGCAAGCCCCAAGAGCGTGGTATGGAAGAATAGATTCATACTTTACTCAAAACGGTTTCAAGAGAAGCATGAATGATTCTGCTTTGTATATCCAAAAGAAAGGAGAAGATGTGTTGATAGTCAGCCTCTACGTTGATGATATCATCATCACAGGAAACAGCAGTCATCTCATCAGTCTATTCAAGGAGAAAATGAAGAGTGAATTCGAGATGACAGATCTCGGATTGTTAAACTACTTTCTTGGGATGGAAGTTATTCAAGATGATCAAGGTATTTTTCTTTCTCAAGAAAAATATGCAAACAAACTTATTGATAAGTTTGGAATGAGATCAAGCAAGATCGTAAGTACCCCACTTACACCAAAAGGCAAAGGAGTAGAAGATGACAAAGAATATGGCGATCAGACAAAGTATAGAAGCATCGTTGGAGGGCTTTTATATTTGTGTGCATCACGATCTGATGTGATGTATGCAAGTTCCTACCTCTCAAGGTACATGTCATCTCCTCTTATGAAACATTATCAAGAAGCAAAAAGAGTTTTGAGATATGTCAAAGGAACATCAAGCTTTGGAGTACACTTTACAAGTGTGGAGACACCAAGATTAATAGGATATTCAGACAGCGATTGGGGTGGTTCCATTGAAGACAAAAGAAGTACGTCAGGCTATGCCTTTACCCTTGGATCAGCTATGTTTTGTTGGCAGTCATGTAAGCAACAAACAGTGGCTCAATCAACGGCAGAAGCAGAATATATCGCCGTCTGTGCAGCAGCAAATCAAGCCGTCTGGTTACAAAGACTTCTGGAGGATCTTGGAGGAAAGATTGATGAAGGCATTCCCATCTTATGCGACAACAAGTCAGCCATAGCAATTGGGAAGAATCCAGTGCAACATAGAAGAACAAAACACATAGAGATCAAGTATCATTATGTGCGTGAAGCAGAGAGTAAGGGACTCATTCAACTGGAATACTGCAAAGGAGAAGATCAACTTGCAGACATACTCACAAAGGCGTTAAGCAGCTCAAGATTGCTGGATCAAGAAAAGGGGGTACTACGAGCCCTCTGCCCCACGCATCTAACCAGCTCGCGTGGTTCACGAGACTAAGAAAATCAGATATTGTAGAGGAAAGAAGCAGTGCGAGTAGAGTAGAGCAGCTTGGTAGCTTGCAAGGGGTTCCTCCAGGAGCTGAAAACGAGTCCTTCGGAGGGCGAAGAAACTCATTAATTCATTGATGAGGGCCCCTCATTCAAATGTTATGCTTCGTGCTTCCCTCACATTTTGAGTTGATTACTCAGAAAGAAGCTTGGAGTAAAACCGAGATATGATTAAGGAGGAGTGTTAAACTATAATCAAATCTCGTATAAATTAGTTACACATTTACATAAGTTACTTGATCAAAAGGCATATATGTTCTGTTTTTAGAGTCGTGTCTTTTAGATCAAGAGTCGTGTCTTTTCTTATTACACAAACACAATGTTTCATTTTGTATAAGTAGTAAATCGAGTCTTTGTTATTTTCATCACGAACAAGAAACAAGTGTAATACATTCAAGTATCAATACAAAGTTTCATTTCGATACTCTGTTTTTCTTTCATTTCCGTAAACACATCAAACACAAAACATCAACAATAAGCACTCCTTCTGATTTTTATTTTGATAGTATTAGTCTTATATAGGCCTTTTGCTTCCGAATTCCGCATGATCGAAATCCAGATTTTGTTTCCTCTATACTTACTTTATTTGATGTAATTAATTGTAGAAGATTAAAGAGGTATCCGTGAATTATTCATTGCTAGGATGATGAACAAGAAGGCGCCGCCGACTGAGTACTTTGGATCTGAAGTAGGGGTGTGGTGGGACACGGACAAGTGTCCGATTCCCGGTGGTTATGATGCTTGGAAGGTCGCTACGTGTATAAAAGCGGAGCTGGAGAAGTTGGGCTACTCTGGTCTTGTCACCATCTTCGGCTTGGGCAACCTTAAACGCATCCCTGAACAAGTCTTGCAAGCCTTACTCTCCACTGGGATCGTTCTTACAACACTCCCATCCAGTTAATCTTCTTATCTCATTCCAAGTGTTTATCTATTTGCAAGTGTTACATTAGGGTTTAGATTTTTCAACTGTTTCTTTGCTTTCCTTTACAGGAATTCGCAGCGCAAGCATTGTTAGGGAAATGCTTGTCTGGTTTTTCAAGAAGAAGCAACAAGCTCCGGTTTCGTTGATGGTCATAACGGATTCTGTCGGCTTGGATCTATTGCGCCGTACTCTTTACTCGCTACAAGATGGTCATGGAGCCAACATTTTGCTGGCGTATCCAGAGTCTCTCAAAGGAGAATATGCTCTCGTCACTCACGAGCAGTGGATCTGGAAAAGCTTGCTGAAAGGTAATTGTTTCCCCGCAGATGTTGCTGTTGTTGTGTCTTTGCTGTTGTTGTATCTGAACCTTATGTTTTCCCCCACAGATGCCAAGTCCAGTGGAACTGGTGATTTTTCTTGCCCAGTATGCAGCTTTGTTTGCCACAGCTTTGAAGAAGCCAACGAGCATCTCAAGGGTCAAACACATGCACTGAAGGTAAGCATCCATCCTTCAGTTAGTCGCATGTTATTGGTTGCCTTTCAAAGAAATTGAAATTGACACCCCCATGTTGCAGGAGCTTGGAGTACTTATGCCTTGGGATCCCGTGGATGAAAAGATGATGGTTGAAGCCGGAGTTGATTTTCCGACAGGAATTGAAAATTTATAAACAATCCAAAATTAGACTGATTGCTAGCATATGATATGAGTGTGGAGTTTTGTTAAACATATTATATTTTTATTTTAAATTGGAGTTTTATTATGTATAATTATTTCCACACTTTACAAACATGTGACTGGTTTTTACAATTTACACTTTTTTGAGGATGCTGCTTATGTAATTAAGATTTACCGTAAATGAAAAAAATCATAAAATTTAATTATCAGAATCGCAGCTAGAACTAGTTCTTGGCGTCCAATGTTGGTCACAAGACTTAGTTCCGTTGATTTACTCTCTCTCTTGAGTCGCTTCCATGAGCTGTGATTTACGCGGAATTTTCATTCAGAATTCCTGTCGGATGTGTTCCGAGATTTCGTCGCATATCTACAGTCTACTGGATTTAGACCGAAGTTTAGGTTTTTGATTTGTTCTCTCTTGGTTTTGAATTTTCAGGTGAAAACTGTTCCTTTATGATTTGTTCTCTCTTGAATTTTGAACTTTGGATTGTGTTATGTACTTGTGTGTAAGAAAAGAAGAGTACTTTCGTTGGATGCATGCAGTTATTACGAGCTTGTTTTGGTTTGTGTTGGTACACCGTACATTGTGTGTTTTATCATGTGTGCGTGACTGACAATGTTGAAAGTCACGTGAAGTTTGTAGCTTATAATAAATAAATAAAGTCGTCGATGGATTTTTCATAGAGCAAGAACGATGTTGACGTTACGTACTGCATGTTGGCGTCTGCCAATGTAAACTAAAATATATGTATTAAATTTGTTTAATATTCTATCAAATAATTTTTTTCATTAAAGGAAATCAACGCATAGTGGAAGTGAACTTGTCCAAGGAAGAATCAAACGAATATATAAATATATATATATAGCAAAAAAAATGGAAAACTTGGAAATACGAAAGAACTCAACGTCTCCATCTTTTTATTCTTTCCGATATATTCCAGTCATAAATGTCTTCCTCGTTTCTTAACGTTTTTCTTTCAGATTCATGAGGAACAAGAAGAACTTGGTTTAGACCAAAAAAAAGAAGAACTTCAAAACATATATCTGATTGAACTGTGTGTTATATATAATATAGTACAATATCCTATTGCTTGAAACAAACCGTTGGAAGAACTAATTCAAACTACTTTGAAAGTAATTTTTCTTTACATAATGAAACGAATCTGAATGTCTACATCAGTATGAAAACAAGAACTAAAAAAACTTTGGGTCTAAATTAAACGGAACAATTGAATAAACAGAGAGAGGCTGTGATCACCAAACTAGTAAGTTAGTAACCAAAGACGAATGCGCTTAGCCATCTGTTGAGGCGCGCGGTCCATAGGTTATAACTCCATCTTCTTGGAGAAACTAACGGGTCGCACCATGACTCGAAGCTTGAGGCCAGCCGCACAATGACCGGTCTTGGAGCTGATGAAATAATGGACTCCTGGTTTGGTGAGACTGATGACATCGTGTCCCGTCTTGTGCACGGCTACAGGAGAAACCGGGTCTCAGGTTTCAAACTCACGATGGCCGCTGATTTCGTACACGTCGTTGGCTTCGTTGGCGTATTCGCAAAGAAGCTTGTCTCCGACATGAAACTCTTTCTCCTCACCCCACTTGTTATAGAATTCGCTGTCGTAAACCCTCCATCCTTTGGAGCCACCGACCTTGTAAGTCTTTCCGAAATACAAGACCTTGCTCGGCGGTGGTGGAGGGATCGGACGTGACGGGTCATGGACCACAAGAATGTCGAGTCTCTGTCCCAATTGGCACTGAACACGATTTGAGCTGATGAAGTAGTAAAACCCTGGTTCCGTGAGCGTTACGACATCATGGCCTGTGTTGTAAACGGCTTGAGGAGAGAAAGTGTCGCAGAATTGGTACTCCAAAGCGCCCCATACTTGAGTGACGTCGTTGAGGCTGCGATCGTATTCGAAGACAAGTGAATCACCGACGTGAAATTCCTTACGCTCGGCCCAACTGTTATACACGTCGTCCTTCGTCGTCCATCCATCGGAGTCTCCAACTTTGTAGATCGTCGCCGAGCAGCAACTCAACAAAATTGTTATGAAGAGCACGAAGCCAAAGAGCATGGTGTTGTTGATCTTCTTCGTTGTTGTTATTGCCATGATTCGAAGGTATTCACGAAAGAAGAAGAAGAAAGCTCTTGAACAAACTCAGAAGCGAACAAGAAAGGTTTCGAGATCAAGGAAGATGAATGAGAGAGAGAGATACAAAGAGGCAAGCGTTGGTGGTAATAGAAACAACGAGAGACTAACCTATCACTTTATATAATGCTGCTTTTACCGATTCCTAATCCTTGTTCTTTTCGGATTTTATTTACGTTGTTTCCTTTTTGTTTTTCTTTTTTGAACCTTATCCAAAACGTATCTTTTAGTTTTAGATTTAGATTATATAATGTATAATGAAAAAGAAAATGCTTAACGATCTCTAATCTTTTTCGGATTCAGTTTTATTATATTTCCATTATCCATATTTGTTTGTATATAATAAACATCTTTGGATCCCTTTGTAAGTTACTGTATTTGTCTAGCTCACTACTGCATGTGTACGTATATTTCATCATACATACACATGAAAACAACAATGTTCTTGTTGAAAAAGTAATTTAACAAATTGGAATGTTGAGTTTAGACATGATAAAGTAGCGATCTTTCTTCAGTCTAAACACTCTCTCTCTCACTATTAACACTTGTGTGTAAGAAACTTGAGCAAGAAACAGAGTTGTTGTTTGTTTGTTTGAGAAGACTTAAAAGTTAAGAGCTTGAAACGTAAAGACACAGGGAATTAACAAGTTCGGACCCTTGCGAGGGATCCTACATCTCTCCGGAGAAGGTCTCCAGAAAATCCACTAAGAACTTAGCTCAAACCGAGCTCTTAATCTTTTACACTTCTCTCTCTGTTCTGTTTCACACACTTACACAAGCTTACTCATTCAGACATGTCTTATGTCCTATATATTTACAGAACTAACTTGGTAACCAAAGCTCTAACTCTATGCTTGAGTTAACCTATGGTTACTTTATTTCTTTTGTCTTATTGATCCCAAGAGCAAACGGTTAGCTGCAGACCTGCTTTCTTTATCTCCTCTTGGCGAGTACGGTTCTGCTGTCGTTGCAGAGGGAGAGAAGTCACGTGTTTTGTGAAGATTAAAACCTTATCTTTAAAACCCTCTGTCTCATCTTGAGTCTTCAATGTTTTTCTCCTTCCATCGAAACCTTCCTCATGAAACCAAGTCTTCAACCTTGCTTAACTCAGCTTCATAATAATCTCATTGACGGACTGTAACAAATCAGAGAAAAACAGAGCTTAAGATTCAAACTAACCTCCACAGGAAATAGGGATACGGTTTAGCTGGACTAAAGGCAAACCGCGTAAAGGAAGATTAATTGGTTAAGAGTCGGGTTATGACTCAATTGAACGACACGAATACGAAAGGAGGGTTTGCAAGAAGGAACAAGAAGAACTTCAAAACATATATGTGATTGATCTGTGTATTATATAATATAATAGGATATTCTATCTTGAAGCATACTGTTGGAAGAACTAATTAATACTGAAACTTTGAAAGTAATTTTCTCTTTACATAAATCTGAATGTGTACATTAGTACTGAAAACAAGAAATAAAAAAAACTTGGGTCTAAACGAAACAATGAATAAACTTGGGTCTGTTGAAGCAGTCCATAAGTTACAACTCCATCTTCTTGGAGAAATTAACGGGTAGCACCACGACTCGAAGCTTGAGGCCAGCGGCACAATGACCGGTCTTGGAGCTGATGAAATAATGGACTCCTGGTTTGGTGAGCCTGATGAGATCGTGTCCCGTCTTGTGCACGGCTACAGGAGAAACCGGGTCGCAGGTTTTGAACTCAAGATGACCGCTGATTTCGTACACGTCGTTGGCTTCGTTGACGTATTCGAAAAGAAGCTTGTCTCCGACATGAAACTCTTTCTCCTCACCCCACTTGTTATAGAATTCGCTGTCGTAAACCCTCCATCCTTTGGAGCCACCGACCTTGTAAGTCTTTCCGAAATATAAGACCTTGCTCGGTGGTGGTGGAGGGATCGGACGTGACGGGTCATGGACCACAAGAATGTCGAGTCTCTGTCCCAATTGGCACTGAACACGGTTTGAGCTGATAAAGTAGTAAAATCCTGGTTCCGTGAGGGTTACGATATCATGGCCTGTGTTGTAGACGGCTTTAGGACAGAAAGTGTCGCAGAATTGGTACTCCAAAGCGCCCCAAACTTGAGTGACGTCGTTGAGGTTACTGTCGTATTCGAAGACAAGTGAATCACTGACGTGAAATTCCTTACTCTCGGCCCAACTGTTATACACGTCGTCCTTCGTCGTCCATCCATCGGAGTCTCCCACTTTGTAGATCGTCGCCGAGCAGCAACCCAAGAGAATTGTTATGACGAGCATGTGTAACAGGATAAACCGGTTATAAACCCGGTTTAGTTATCTAACTTCTCTTATTGCTGATTTATCTAGCTCATTTATGTAAACCGGTTTGTTTAAATCATTAGCAACGCTTTATGTAGGCTTAGGCCAGTTTACGAAGAATTAATCAGTGAATCTTTTCCTCTTTCGTCATCTCTTTCTAAATTCACATCATCATCTTTATTCATCATCATCTACGGATCCAGATTTCTTAGAGATGATCCTTCTCTTTCTTTGATCATCTCCTAGTGCTGTGATTCTCCATTCTTAGAGCTTCCGGAGAGCTCCTATTCTGGGATTATATCTCATAAGATTTCATCTGTCTCATTGGTATCAGAGCATCGAGCTCTCGGACCCAAAAAAAAAAAAATGGCAAACCTGAGCAAAGAACAATACGAAGCTCTCCGTGAGATGCTCAATATATGTAGAGAAGCGAGACAACTTTTGAAGAAGAGCTGGGTTAACGAAGATCGGGTCAAAACTATGGTGAATCCCAATATAATTGTTGAAGCTATGGCGAATCCAGAACCCAGAAAATCATCGTCCATGTTTCCGAAGACACCACCAGTGTCCCCTCAACCACCTGACCCTCCAGATTTCAACGGTTCTGGGCATACTTCGCCTCATCGGAAGTTTTCCTGCGAACAGGTATATGAGAGAATGGAAAATGGATTGTGTTTGTTTTGTGAGAAGCTTGATACTCCTGGTCATCATGTGCAACACAAGCGATCACGGATCTTCATGATAGATCGTGAAGATGATCAACTCATTCATGAAAACGGGTTGGCAACTGCTGCTGAAACAGAATCTTCAATTCATGTCGAATCATTGGAGTGTGTCTCAGTTTTTAAGGATTCTATTGATTTGAATCGGGAAGGAGATCAAGCGAAAATTATGGCAGAAGAAAAGCTGCCTCTAGAGCAAAACAACGAACACTTGGAGCGCAAACAGTCCCAAGAGGTCTCTGCTGAATTCAGGTCTCAAATTGATTTTTCGTTTGTAGATGAATATCATGAGGATTCAGCAACGTTGATCAAACCATCAGACGATGTCAAGCTCTCCTTCTTACAGAAGCACACTTGTTCTCACAAACGTATTCTCTCCTTCTCGGAGATGATTCTGCCTATCTCGGGTAGAGTTTGTATTGAAGAGGAACGCTCCTATCGCCTATCTCAGGATCATCGTCTATGGGAACCCGGTTTACAAATAAATAAAAATGAAGGGATTGGACTACAAACCTATGGCTATGAGTATAAGAAGCAGATGTTGCTACTTGTTAAAGAGTCCAATCGTGTGTGGGAGCATGGCGGATTACTAGTTATACAGAATTTCTGGAAGTGGTTAGAGAGCGGCTACAAATGTAACGAAGTCCTTAAGGGTTGTGCTCCGTTCGAAATGTCCTTTGTTGAGTCTGTTGGTTTAAAGGCTTTTGACAGAAAGAAGAGTAACCAAAGTCTTTATCTAGAAGACGAACCAGGGAATTAACAAGAGCAAAAAGAGGTATTGAAACTCATTTCATCCTGCAATAACCGAGTGTGGGAACCTGGTGGAATGTTGATTGGAAAAAATATATGGGAATGGTTAGAAAAGATTCACAAACGTTATGGACTTTTATGGTTGCTGCAAAAGATTCATAAGATGAGTCTCCATTGGGTCAAGTATCATCGCATAGAGATGGATTTTTCATGGTTTAAGCAGCTTCACGAGATGACTTTACAGAAAAACCCAAAAAATGTGGTTCTGCCGGCAGCGAAAACTCAAGGTTGCATAGTGAATGCAGAGCTTCAGATTCAGGTATCTTCTGATCTTGATTTAGAAGCATGGATTGGGCTAGAAATCTATGGTTGTAAGTATATGAAGTTGGTGCTGCTGCTTGTTAAAGCGTCAAATTGTGTGTGGGAGCGTGGAGGATTACTAGACACACATGTTCACTGGAAGTTGTTTAGGAACTTGTATAAACGTGATGGAGCTCGGAATACAAGGTCTATGCTGCTTTACTTTGTTGATGATGGAAGAATGAGCTTTGAAGGGTTACAAAGTTACTGTTTGCTGGATTTTACTTCTGAGCATCATTATTCGCTGATCGTACATGAATATCAAGAGAGGCAGATCACACAAGAGCTAGTGCAAGTTGATCTGAACTGCAAGTTCAGGCTTGTTCCATATTTCGCTTTCAGACCAGGCCTTAAAGTTGCTCGAGACTGGCTGATTGTTTTTGAGCAGAACAAAGCCACTCCTAACTTCTTCAAGACACTTGAATGCATACATACATTGTGCTTCTGGCCAGGGGGATCTCCGCAATCATACTTAGCTACCATTCTCAAGGCTTCCCAACATTCAGTTTTTACAGAAAGCTTCAGGATTAAAACATCATGGCAGAGTGTTGAAAACAAGATTTCACGAACTGCTTCTCATGTGTATCATCGTTGGAAGAACAAAGCTGGGAAATGGCAAGCAGTTTCATATAAGGGTAAATATAGAAGTGTTGAAGTCGCTGGAACAACACCCTGTTTTGCACAACCTATAAGACCCCAACAACTTAAGACAATGTTGATGTTGCGTTTATTGCTTCAACAATTCTATGAGAGCCTGCTCGATTGTGTGACACTTCAAGGTGTGCTGTTTGG